CGAAACTGTGCGATAAACAGTAGACTTAGAAATTGGATAGTGCTCCGGATAGGTGTCATTAAACAAATTTGCGACTGCTTCGTAAGATCGAATTTGGTCACCAAAACCGCGCATTCTAAGGATTGTAATTCGGTCAGTAATACTTAGTGGCATTTTTAAATAAATGCAAAATTATTATAAAATAATGATTTTGCAATTTGAATTAAAAATGAAGTACAATTTGTAAGTAGTTTGTGTCAATACCTATAGTGTCGGAACAAAACCAGCTTTTACTATTCTTGGTAAACCAAGACGCTTATAGGTCGCGAAAGTCATTTTCACTTGCGAGAACCGTTTTTCATATAACAGATACGATTACAATCTGCGAAAAATGATTGTAATGTTTTCAATGCTTAGTGTTTTGGATTTTACTACACCATCAAGATAGATTTTTTGAAAAATCGTTTCACGTGTTCCGGTGATTATCGAAACACTAAACTTTTTTAATGTTTCTGACTAAAAAATTTTCAAAATTGCATTTTCCCGCCAAAAGTGAACGCAGCGCCCACTATGCGGAGTGTTTTGGATTCGTCTTGAGAAGACCTTTCAAATGAACTCCCACTCGACCTATGTTGCCATTTAAGATTTTCGACCCCCCTCGTGCCCCACGTGCCCCCTTAGGGGTGGGGGTCTTAACCCCCCTCAAAAGATAGATTTTTTGAAAAATTTTCACGTGTTTCAGCGTTTTTTTTAAATACCGATGGTTTTTGAAATATTTGACCGTTCCGGGACTTTTTGCCATCACTGTATATCTTTCATAAAAAAAATCTAAATAAGCAAAAATAATTTCTCTTATTTAATTAGATTACATACCTGATATTTTAACATCTTCAAAGTTATAGGTAAGCCAATATCTGCCTCCGCAAAATCCGCTGTGATAAATCTTTCTCTTGCTCTATGGTAAGAATACTCTTTCGTTCTAGACGCTTTGTACCAGATTTCATATGATTCCTACCAGGAATTCCATACCTTTCGCAAATGGCTCTCTGTGAGAGTTTATTCCGTTCAACTGCTTTAAGAGCAGCTTCCATGGACTCTGTGTTCCAATTTTCAGCACGTTTTTTTATTTGCGTCTTTTTAGTTTTAGCCATAATATTATCTTCAACAAAAAAAAGTGAATATTAAAGTCACTTATTCAATCAACAAAATCGCAAAATAATCAACAAATTACAAAATATTCAATAAATTGATATTAATTGTATTTACATTAAGGGTGCGTTTTCAAGCTAACTGTAGCACTGTATAAATATCAGTTTATCATGTTGTCTATCAAATATCAGACAAGGAAAAATGATGCTTACAAGCACTATAAGCGCAAAATGGAATGCAATTCAGGTAGAGTGAATCGAATTGAAATCAAAAAGTCCTCTACCATTTTGCAATTTTCACAATAGTTAACAAAATATTAATTACTAAAAATTGCCAAATATTGGTCTTGAATAATTTTTTACTTAAATACTATCAACTTTATAGAAAAGTTGCAAGAGACAAAAATTATTTATTTTCTTCTCATAAAGTTCTGAAAATTTTTTCAAAATTTTTTAATACCATATTTTCTCATGTTGATAAAAATAAGAAAATGCAATACTAAAAGTTGATAAAAAATTCTGAAAAATTTTTAGAGTTCTATGAGAAGAAAATAAATGTTTTGTTTCTTGCAGTTTTTCTAAAACTGCAAAATGGAAGATGACTTTTCGACTCAGTTCGATTCAGTCTACTTGCTCATGATGGATGACGAAATATAAAATTACCCTGTAAATTTTTTTCATTTTTATGTGTCTCTATTTTTTAATATTATTTGATTAGGAAGTTGAATAATATTATAATATGTTATAAGAAATTATAAAATATCGTATATATAATAAACTTTTTGAAATACTTACAATTTATTACAGCGGATTTTTATAAAAACGTCACAAACATTCACCTCGTCATAAAGTTTACATTATATTAAAAAAAACGAGTTGTTGCCGATTTTAGTTCTCTAGACTTCTTCTTATCGGTCCTATGACACATTTTTTAAGCATATAATTTAGACATAAAGTGCATTTATAAGCAGTAATTTAAAAAGTGGGCTATATTTTGTGCTGGGTTTTTTTCGGCTCAAGTACCTTAGAGGGTGTCCCGAAAGTTTTTGCCAATTGCTTTTGTGTAGATAGAACGGAAATTGAGTCGAAAAGTCCTCTATTATTTTGCAATTTTCGCAATAATTAACAAGATATTAATTATTAGGTGTTGGAATTAATTCGTAGCGTTTTTAATGAAAGAATGTTATTTATTTCACATGAGCATTAAAAAATACATTAATGAAAGTACTTCCCATCACTTGTAAAACGCTACGAATTAATTCCAACACCTAATACTAAAAATTGCCAAATTGTTTGAGATCGGTAATTCGAAAAGAAAAGCAAGAATTCTTTCAGTCGACCGACAGTAATTGTCATTGAACGCATGCATAAATTGAGCTCGTGATTTCATCTCGAGCATGATCTAAATCCTCGATAAAAATCAGCGATTTGGTGTTCTTTGTTCTTTTTAAAAACAAGTCGTTACACGCAAACAAGTTGTCGTTACCGGCAACGGACAATCGAAAGTTCTAGAACGATTCAATTCGCGCACGCGAGCGCTGCGCTCCGACGAATACGTCACGCGCTGTCACCAATCCCACGCACGGATTTTCTGTCGCGCATGACTGTTACGTTGAACGTCGTTAGAAAAGAATCCAAAGCGCCAATCAATTTTGTACACCTAATGCCACGTAATAATTACGATTGTGGCAAATTTTTATTGGATTTTTCCCAAAAAGGAAAGCTCAGGCCGAAAGCAATAAATGCTTCGCTCTCGCCGTCCTCCTTCTTACTTCTAAAAGTTCTTAGAGTTCTTAGAGTCATAGTCTTGCTACTATATCGCTTCGTAAAATCGCCGTGCTTACCGCCTAGTGAAATCGCGATAAAACGAATCTTTCGAGAAGTGCCGAGAAAATCGCCGAGATTTTCCATTACCGCGATTCCAAAATATCATTTGGAAAAGGTGACCGCATTTAATATTCTGTTAATTTAATATTTAATTAATTATATTTTTTGACTTTGTAACTGAGCATATTAAAGAAAATTCTTTTGTTAAATTACAAAGAAATGCAGTTCTCTTTACTGTCGTGCACCATATCAACCTTGTGCCGTTTTCTCACTCGAATCTTTCCGCGCGGTGCGCTCTCGCACACAAATATTGGTCTTGAATAATTTTTTACTCAAATACTATCAATTGTACAGAAAAACTGCAAGAGACAAAAATCATTTATTTTCTTCTCGTAGAACTCTAAGAATTTTTTCGGAATTTTTTATCAACTTTTTAGTACTGCACTTTCTTATTTTTACTAATTGAGAAAATACAGTATTAAAAAATTCCAAAAAAATTCTCAGAATTTTATGAAAAGAAAATAAATCATTTTTGTCTCTTGCAGTTTTTCTATAAAGTTGATGGTATTTGAATAAAAAATTATTCAAAATCAATATTTATAAGTATTTGCCAAATATTTGGAATTTCCACATGCCAGACCTGTGGAATTGACATATGCTCCATATAGGAGCATTGTTTATGAGGATTCACTGTCCATGGTAGTCATTCGAACTGCGCGTCGAATTGATTTTCCGGATTTATAAACGTAATTAAGTATTGTAATAATATCACAAATTAAATTTAATTGACAAGCAATTTTTGATAATTCGATGCTCAATCAGATATCGTATTAGAAAGATGTTAATGTGCTGAAAAACTTATTATAGATATTTTAATAAATAAATTTAGGGTATAGCAGGGTAATTTGAACAATTTCAAATGTTTTTAACAATTTCGAAAAGTAATAATTTTATCATTATTTGTTGAATATGTAGCAGGAAACTCACATATTTAAATAATATTTACCCAAAGTATAAAAAATTAATCTTTAAATTTTGTGGCACAATGCCATATCCGATTTTCTCCTACAATTTTAATAAAGCTTAATTTTGAGGGGCAATTTGAATATCTTAAAGAATAACTTGAATAATATTGAAAATGAACATTAAAATTAGAACAAAAATCAAATTTTGTAATAAAATACTTGAATTGATTCATAATTTGTCCCTGTTTATACTTTTTACGTAGATTTCATAAAAACTTAAAAAAGAGTAGGATATATTCTTATATAAACTGCAGTAACAATCGAAATACTCTACTTACTTCGTTTAATATAAAACTTTCCACGATATATAGATTTCCCGATATACAGATATCTTTTCAAACCTACATGAATATGTAAACTACAGTATATCTTTTTTGCTACTAAGCCAAAATATAAAACATGGCATCTCAATTTTTTTTAAAATTTTTCCAAACGTTTACTATTGTCCCAATTTTCTCGTTATTCAAATTACCCCACTGTACTCTATTGCGAAAAATATTACCTCGGTCGGGAGTCGAACCCAGATCTCATGTATTCTATACAAGCGTCCCAAAAATCTCTATCAAGGCCTTAGTAATATTCTTTGCAATAATCAATATATGTATGGAAACGTTTTTCTTTTAGGAGGACATAATATTATATATATTATTTTAAATTTATATATATTATTTATATATATTATTTTAGATTGTACATGCGAGAACACAAACAATATTACAAATTAAATGCCTATATAACTATCCCGCGAAACTCATCGAAATAATGTCGAATCGACATCGAAAACGTGTTTCAAAAATTAGTCGAAATATTCATCAATTTCGATGAATTTGTGGTACTCGATTCGATAAATTTTTGGCGCTTAGAATGATTTAATTTCGATGAATTTTTGATGCTTTATGATAATACAATATTTTAACGAAAAATAACTTTTTGATTATTATTATTTGTCTAGTTTAATTAGCTGTCTTCGTTGTTTCACGTGTATTCCATGTATTTTATTAATTATTTTTTAAAAACGCATTGTTGGAGATTTGAACCTGTGATCCTAAAACGGTAGCTTAATATATTATACTAATGTTCGACTGCAAACCAACGCAATGTTCGTTGCATGCGATACGCAATATCCAATAGCCAATCCGAGCGTATAGAATTAGAACATCAATAAAGCTTTACTCAATGGATATCGCGTGTCGCGTACAACAAACATAGCGTTAGTCTGTAGCCGGCATAACGTAGATCTAAGCGTACGTTTGCGATCAAGTCATTGCCAACGCTTACCTACAGTAACTATTCTTAATTTCGTGCATCTGCTGACAAATTAATATTATTTGAAGATGACTCCACAAAGTGAGTTGAAACGTATGAATATTTGTATACAGTGATTTTATAATTATAATTTCTCAAACTTATAATTGTAATTTATTCCAGATATAATTGCGCGCCGATAACTTTTGATTTCAATACAATCATTGTGAACTGCTAATAATCCTCCCTAAATTAGTGTTACGTCCTAACCCTTGAAAATTTGGTCAAAGAGACAATGAGGGAGAATGGAGAGGGTATGGAAGGACGGTTAGATTCAATCTCACAGGTATACGCGCGGAGGCGAACACCTGTGAGTCGTACGCACTTTTTCAGTCCCGGAATATGGGTCAACGTTCGAAAGGACGCTATGACACCTGTTGCTCTGGAAAGTGCGAACGTCGGTCCTACTTTTTGGGTCAAGGAACTTAATCCTTTTGATCCGGGACTGGACCTGGTGCGACCTCAGGTAGTAGAGGGAAATGAATGCGAGAGGTGATTTTAATAAAAGACAGGAGAATACCTTAAGTTACATTTATTAATAAAAAGAAAAATAATAATAAAAAAGGGTTTTATACATTAAAAACTTCTCTTTACATAAAAAATGTACATTGCAGCTTATGGATGTATGCGCGCGCGCGCGCGCGCGCGCGTGTGTGTGTGTGTGTGTGTGTGTGTGTGTGGTGGAGAAGAAAGGGTTAATGGGTATGGGAAGCGAAGAAAGTATTGCAGGAGCACATCGGGATGAGGTGCTTGTAGAGAAAAGTGTGAGGTTTCCGGGGATGTATACTGTGACTAATCTGTCCCCTTCGTTGGACGGGGACAAATAGAACCGGAACATCCGATCCCAGTCGATC